CCCCCCCCCCCCCCGGTACCAGCCCTCGCCGTCATTTTAGTCAAGGGCAGTTGAAATATTGAAATAGCACTCAAATTAAGGATGCTACACCTAATATATTATTTCATGGCATGCAAATTAACTACACAGGTATCTAAACAATAAGTAAGAGATTCTTGAATTTTTCTCAAGAAACAACCCGAGCAATGATATTTTATGCACCGGGTAGGCAACTTTTCCGGGGGGGGGGGGGGGCAGAGGAGCACCTCATCAAGGGGGGACGTGGAACCCCTCTCGCTACGAAGAACTCACACTCGGGAGCAGTGGCCAGGGGCCACTGCTGTGAGTGTGAGTTTCTTGAGGGCCTCTAAAGTTTAAATTATTGATTTGGAGAAACTCGGCAGGATCTCGGGGGTCATACGCCCGCCAAAATCCCAAGACCCAGATTTCAAGTGATTCATCAACTGCGAGAGTTTTCTCTAACGTAAAAAACAATTCAAAATCGACTGAAGCTTCCATGATAGAAAATCTTGAAGCTCCACTTCTTTAATTCGAGAGGGACTGTTATGGGCGAAAAGGGGGGGGGGGGGTGTGTGCTGGCTTCCTACGGAAACCTACCTAGCCTCTCCCTGAAATGTGAAGGATTTTGCCGAGTAAGACCTCTTATATTTTTCAAGCTGGACATTGATTCAATTTCTCGGTAAGAATAGCTTATAATTGCTCCTGAAAAGACTCAATTTGTCAAAATTTTCCGGGAGAGCCGCCAGAACCCCCCTGTAAAGTTAGGAGAGTGCAATCTTGTAGGCGGTATGCGCTCCACGCCGACCGCTGCGGAACGCTCTGTGTTTGACGCAATACGTGAAGTATTCATGCAGTCTCGTAGGCGCCGTGCGTTTCACGCAGACCGCTGCTGCTGACCGCACTGTGTTAGACGCAATGCGTGAAGTATTCATGCAGTCTTGTAGGCGCTAATATGTGTCCCATGCTTACCGCCGCGCCGAGGGCTCCTCCTTTTCATATCAAGTCCTCGTCATCATTGTTCTCTGCGCCGCGCCGTTCCAGGCCAAATTGCGTGTGTGGTTTCTCTTTTAACACGACTAATTCTAAGGTATTGTCTCTTGTATCACAGAAACGCGACAAAATTAGAAATCACTATACTCACAGGAAATGAGAGATTTTATCGCGTTTTCTCGTTTTTAATTTTTTTTTCTGAATCGGAGTTTTTTTGATACCTAAATTTTAAAAAATTGGAAAATTTGCCGCCATGGGCCGCGGCCCATGTGCCCCCCCTCCCCCCTAAATCCGGCCCTCCTAAAATTTCGATTTCTTTTGAAAATTTGACTCGCAACTCTTTCCTCTGTGCTATCTTTTAAATTATTATCACTCAGAAAATAATTGTCTTTACATTATCTATTGAAAAAATTGAGAGGAAGCAGTGCTTCTCTTACTTACAGGGATATACCACGCCACTGCTCAGGTCCTAGTCTAAATCTGTCTTTTAAACTCAATGGCTTCTCGAGGATCTGGTCGGATTTATCGCTGAAATAAAGAGCTAAACATAGTGGTAGGTAGTAGTAATACATGTAAAAGAGAAGAAAAAAAAGAAAAGGAAAAAAAATCACTCGGGGGCTTTTGGGGTCCCCGGCTCTGAGTCCGCTGGTCCAGGCGATAAGCGGAAAACGCGCATTTGATGAACACTCACCGAAACGGTGAAAAACACCCGTTTTTCACCGATTCTCGGCTCAGGCCTTGCCGAGCCTCCAGACCATACTGCCGTGCAGCTAAGGGAGAACGCTGTATGAGCCTTCAGGTGTTGCTAAATTTCCTTCCATAAATTATTACTTTCCAACGATACTTCTGGATATTTTCCCTCCCATTTTTCAGAGAAAATCATTCGAAATTTGACCTGAATGAGATGAAAATTTCAAATAAAAATACTCATGACTTTCCTCCAAAATTAAAGTTTTGTGAGGGGAAATTTTGCAACTCCTGAAGGCTCATACGGCGTTTTTCCTTAGCACGGTAGCATATGCAATCGATTCTACGCCGCTAACGTAGGATTTGACCACAATCTCGAAATTCTTTTTCGCGTCCAAAATCGAGAAAAATCTACAGGAGGTGAATTTTGGCATCATGGACTAAAATTTCGGTGTCGAGATCGAAAGTTTTCCGATCACGCTGTAGCTACTGTTGGAAATGATCTCGGTTTTTTGGTCCAAAAAGCTCCACGAGCCCGCTGGTCCTAGAGTACCTGTAGCTGGTCCAACCGATCGGCGGTAACGCATGCTGACGAATCCTCGAGAACTTTGAAATACCTTCACCGCCGTGTTAAGAAAGAAGGCCGTAGGAGCCGTCAGATGTTGCCACATTTCCTTTCAAAAGATGAATTTTCAGGGAATTCTGTTAACATTTTTTCTTGAATATACTGCAAAATATCATTCAAAACCAGATGTAAATCGTATGAAAATTTCAGGGGATATTAGTCATAACTATCCTCAAACGTAAACATTTTATCGGAGAAAATTTGGCAATTCTCGAATGTTCATACGGCGCGCCGCTAAAATCGCCGCAAAGGGAGGACTGCACGTCATTATCCGTGACTCTCTGTCCTGTTTTTACGACAATGTGAGTGAAAGTATATCCCTGAATTGTAATGATTCAGAATCTCGGATTGGGTTTATTAAATTCGTTTTTTTTTTTAAATGAGGTCTGAAACGAGCGAAAATATTGCGTCAAATTTCCAGCGACTGAAGAAAATCCGCGGAATTTCTTTAGAGAAGCGGCGTTTTCCTTTCGTTTCAAGAATAATCAAAACTATGACATTAGTTGAGGTATGTAACGTTGTAATCGGAGCTAAATACGCTTCCTTACGCGTGCAGGAAAGGATATTTGAACTCATTCACGGCAGGCGCAGTGACGCAACTATTCGACCACGGGTGTAAGCATGTTGCTGCCATACGGATTGAAGGCGCGCCACACTCCAGCAATTACTCGGGTCCCGTCCCGTGCGATCTCCTTGGCTGCCGCGCCGCTAAAATCGCCGCAAAGGGAGGACTGCACGATCCGTGACTGTCTGTCCTGTTTTTACCACAATGTGAGTGAAAGTGTATCCCTGAATTGTAACGATTCAGAATCTCGGATTGGGTTTATTAAATTCGTTTTTTTTTTTTAAATGAGGTCTGAAACGAGCGAAAATATTGCGTCAAAATTTCCAGCGACTGAAGAAAATCCGCGGAAATTCTTTAGAGAAGCGGCGTTTTCCTTTCGTTTTAAGAATAATCAAAACTATGACATTAGTTGAGGTATGTAACGTTGCAATCGGAGCTAAATACGCTTCCTTACGCGTGCAGGAAAGGATATTTGAACTCATTTAAGCCAAGCGCAGTGATGCAACTATTCGACCACGGATGTAAACATGTTGCTGCCAGCCGGATTGAAGGCGCGCCACTCTCCAGCAATTACTCGGGTCCCGTCCCATGCGATCTCCTTGGCTTGCGCGCCGCTAAAATCGCCGCAAAGGGAGGACTGCATGTCATTATCCTTGACTCTCTGTCCCGTTTTTACCACAATGTGAGTGAAATTGTATCCCTGAATTGTAACGATTCAGAATCTCGGATTGGGTTTATTAAATTCATTTTTTTTTGAATGAGGTATGAATCGATCGAAAATATCGAGTCTAAATTTCCGGCGACTGAATAAATCCGCGGAAATTCTATAGAAAAGCTGCATTTCCCTTTCGTTTCAAGAATAATTATAAATATGACATTAGTTGAGGTATGTAACGTTGCAATCGGAGCTAAATACGCCTCCTTACGCGTGCAGGAAAGGATATTTGATCTCATTCACGGCAGGCGCAGTGATACAACTATTCGACCACGAGTGTAAGCATGTTGCTGCCAGCCGGATTGAAGGCGCGCCACACTCCAGCAATTACTCGGGTCCCGTCCCGTGCGATCTCCTTGGCTGTCGCGCGGCGTTTTCCCTTAGTGCGGCAGTACACCCATTTCTCGACTGTGGACGCTCTTTATTTATAACGTTTAATTAATAGATGGAATTAGTAGGAGAAGGTAGGTATTCTTGTCATAAAAAATGCTCTGAAAACTCGTGAGATCAGCTGTAGTGTTATTTAGATGAATGTTTAAGAAAAAAAGTTCAAATTTCACTAAAACAATCTGACTTGTCCTCTTAAAGAATTTTTGGAGTATTAGAAGTGTACCATTCCTGAGTTTTTTTCAAAAAAATACTTGATTCGTGTTTCTAATTTCGTAAATTTTAGCAGTTCTTTCTAGAGCTACTTCCTATTTTCAAGCATTCTTGAGTAGTAGGTAAGTAGCAGCTTACAGTTTCTAGAGGTCTTTCCTCGGACTGCGATGTTTCGTGCCAAGAAGTTTGGTATGAGAGTTGGTGAATTGGACCGCATTTTGCAATTTGGAACTATAAATTCTGGCTCTTCTGAAGAAACACTTATGTGCATAGGAAAACTAATGTCACATACGTTGTTTTTAAACCGGGGTAGAATCTATGAGTCCAAATTGCAAAATGTAGTCCAATTCGTCGTCCCGCACGAGAAACGTAACTCCATTCCAAGATTGCAAAATTGAGTCAAACAATTCAATTTCTCACGAGAATAAATCTACATAATTTTATCGAAAATTTGTCTGATTTTTGTAGGGGATCAAAAAAAATTAGTGAAATTTTCAGTCGGAAATTCTCAAAATTCTCCTGGTAGAAATGCAATTCAGGCGTAGACAAATCCGGCAACATTGAAATGGAGTTACGTTCTTTAGTGAGAAATGATGAATTAGACTGCACTTTGCAATTAGGAACTATAAATTCTAGCCCGGTTTAAAAACAACGTATGTGCCATTGGTTTCCCTATGCACATGAGTGTTTTTCCATAAAAGGCCAGAATTTTTAGTTCAAAATTGCAAAATGCAGTCTAACTAAGTATTGTTACAAGGTAAATAGATCATCATTTGGATGTATTTATGCTAAAAGGAACTATGTTGCACACAATCCCTGTGCAGATAGTTCCTTTCAGCATAGATACGTCCATTTGTATGCGGCCAGACCTATGAAAAGGGACTTTATCTTTCAGGAGAAAATTTCCCTCAACTTTTACAAAGGCACAGGGGAAAATAGGAAAATTTGGGTGCAAGTTTGACCCAGAAAGCTGAAGAAAATAAGAGTCCTGAAGTTTGAAAACAAAAATTCATGGGTTGTAGAAAAACGTGGATTGAGGTATTAAAATAAGGTTAAGGGAAAAAAATTTTCCTGAAAAATAAGGGCCCTTCACACAGATGAACTCTTGCATGAAAAAATAGCATCTTGAAAGTAAAGAGGAAGATTTCCTGGACAAAAATTAATGCTGTGGCAATCGATATCAATGGAAACAAATTTATTCAGATTAGTTTTTCAGCAATATTAGATACAAGAAAAAAAAAGTATTAATTGCTGCGGGACTTGACGGGTCATAATTTTCTTACGGGATTAACGGGGATTGACATTCATAGTAACGAAGAGACTCTCTTCCTGACTTTGAGGCAGAAATAAATGCTACGCTCTCTAAAATAAAACAAAACAAGGTAAGTAAAGAGAAAAGATAGATTGTAGAAAATAAAAATTAAAAAATCTGATAAGGGGCCATCCAAAACTGACAATTTAAAGGATTTCAACCGGATGGGCTCAGGATTCTGTGCTGACAATCAAGGTACAGAAAAAAACGTTCGAAGGATTTCAAAAACAATGCCAGTTTAGAGAAAGGAACATTGTGTACGTAACTTAGTGACCATACTTCTGGAACTCCCACTCCCGATTATCGAGAGGACACACCTGTCGCGTTTTGAGCCATCGGGAAATGCAGTGAAAATGAAAAGCGTGGTTACAGACACCCCAGGCGACTGTGCATTCTTCACTGGTGGCGGAAGCTTGATTGGCTTGGCATTCGATGCAAAGATCCATGATGTGGTTACGACAGATGGCACAGTTGTCGACGACAATGTCCCACGCCCACAAGGCAACAGCGTTCCACTTCTTCACCTCGAACCGTTTCTTCTCACCTTTGCTGCTACTCGATGTTGGCAATTCGACCTCATCATCATCGTCCACGTCCATAGCTGAAGCTGCTGCCATCTGGAACAGAAAATCAATCTGTCATTCGCAAAAAGACTTAAGCACCAAAAGATCGAGGATATTTCTTTTAGGTTTTTTGATTCAAGGTCAATGGAGAATTCGCATGCAATTTTTTTATTGCTCCATCTGAAAGCGCTTAATGAGCTGAGCTTGCAGTATTTTTCATAATTTTTTTCTAATATGGGACATCGGAGAAAAATAGGTTTTTACATGAAAGTTATGAATACGATTCCTTTTAATTTTTTAGAATTTTTAGGTGAAATTGCAAAGAAATTATCTGAAAAGTCGATAGGAAAGTATTCAATAAGTGTACCAGAAAATTTGCGTTTTATCAAAGGAAATTTGGCAACGCCTGAAGGTTCATACGGTGTTTTAGCAAGGCAGTACAGAGGTATATCGTAAAATTCTTAAAGCAAAGGCAGAAGAGGTTTGAAGCGACCAGCCGAAGAACAGGCTGTTTTTAGGGCCGGTAGGTCTACCAATTTCTTACAAGGAAAAGAGAAAAATGATAATTTAAAAACAGTGACGTATACTTTGAAGCCCCGAAAATGTGTGAAAGAAGTTGAAACTTGCAAATAACTCGAATACAGACATAAATGCGAGAGAAGTGATAGATTTTAACTTTTGTAACTTATTGCAAAGTAAATATCAACATATTTTTATGCAGGGAGAATCTAGTAAAAGTTACTGGACGTTTTGCTGCCATTGTCAATGAAAACACAAGGATTACAATTGAAGTCACTCGCCTTCCAAACATCGCAAGTAGCTAAAACGCGCGATACAACTATTTCAACTTCTGAGCCACTCAAATTGCATCCATCAAATTGAAGGCGACCTTGATTCCTCGTTCCTGTTGTTTTTATTTTGTAGATATGAGAGTGAGGGAGGGGCTCCATTCTATCTTTCGTAACTTCTTTCAATGACAATTAATATAATATTTTAAAATTTAATAATTTAAAATGCGGATTGTGCGGAAATAGTAGAAAGTTGTCGCAATGATGACTTTTCATCAGCGTTCATAGACAAGTTTAAGTCAATAAAAAATTTGAAAATCGAACAGGGCACTCATTCCCATAAGGAGTGTGCGAGGTCCTTTAAGCACATTTAGATAGCGACAGAAGATCCATAATCTTCGTAATTGCATTTACTTTCAATGCTAAACTGATATAACGTAATCTAATATCACAGTCTCAAAGTGCATAAACAATAATTGGCAGCAACTCTTGTTTTCAGTGCCCCTGATGTGACCTTACGTAGGTTTGTTCAGTTGGTCCGTTTTTCGACATCTAATACTTTGATTATTCACAAGGACACATTGATTGGTGAAAAATAGCACTACAAGCTATTATCGTGGTGGTCAAAGGATCATGTAGGAAAAGGGATTAAAAGAATCCTGCAGCGTTATGAAATGACTTGTTCATAGAATATTAGTATAAGAGGCCATAAAATACTTATCGTGTAAATACTGAAATTAACAGACGCTAAAAATTTCTAGTACCCTTTGTGCCCATTAACGTGAATCCAGGCTTGGAACTTCGCGATTTGGCCACCATGTCGCGCTGCTCAGAATAGCCGTATATATTTGTCAAAATAATAAAAACCGTAATACTTATTCAAGATTGGGGATCCAGGGGATATAGCAACATACTTGAGGAACACTCAGTAAAAAAATCTTCCCAAAATCCCCAAAAATAAAGTCGTAACTACGGTGGAAAGTAATTCTCATTGCAGCAGTGGAAGAGAGAGAGACAGAACATGAGGGATTTGGTTGCGCGCTTGGCCGTCACGGCTGAGCTGAAAGTTTCAGCCATTCTTTCTCTGCGCTTGTAATTCTAATTGCCAATATTTTTGGCTCAAAAAATCAAGCAAAAAATAATCTCTGTCTTGTGGATCTGCTTTTCGTAAATTGAACAATATTATTTCAGTAATCGTTGAAGGAAAGTGAAATTCTCAGTGGTGACTGGTGGCGCTATCTCTTATCTTGAATTATCCCTAATTGAACCCTGGATTCACCTCAACTTGTAAAGAGCTCTGTTCATGTGGATGGTGCTTGCTAATTAGACTGAAAACGGTGGGTGCTCATCAGAGGAGATGAGAACTTAGAAAAAGAAGGTAAATGGTGCCGAGGTAGTATTCTGATGGCTGCTGGTTGACATGATTACATGTAATCGACAACTAATGAAATATGAATACTAAGGACGTTTACAGTCCTGATGAAAGGAAAAATTAGTGATGGCAATTATGTGAAGTGCGTTAGAGAATTTGACAAAGAGAACAGCGCAATTAGTTGCGGAGAAAGGATGCACCATGAGGATACCAGCCGGCATGCAGCGGATCCTCATGAATTGAACATAATGTAGGATAAAGATTTAAAAAAGGAGGATAATACGATTTTTTGATAAGAAAATAATAAGGATGATAATAAGTTCCGCATGAAGATTGAGGTTATGTTTACAAAGAGGGGGCCTTCCTAGAGTGAGTGTGAAATCTCGGGGAACGAAAAACTAGGTCCGTGATGAATATTGGAAGATAAAATACAAAATTAAGATTAAAACTTACTTGTGTTAAAAGAAGTAGGCTCCAAAATTACGATGGATATGAAATAAACTTCCGGCTTATGTGTTCTGTGCGGCTAGCGTTGACGAGTTGACTTGCAACTTCTTTTGTTTGGTTCTGAGGGTCAGGGATGCACCGCACAAAAATTCAACCTTTGGTCATTCATTATGACAAGATCGTTGGCACATAATTTTAAATTGATGTGCTAATTTTGGATAAAAATCCGGGTGTATACCTTACTATTCCATTATTTACAGAAATTCTTTACTACGCGCGGAAAGTTATTTATTATTGAAAGTGTATCGATGTCATTTTTAGTTACTATCTCGCTAGACTTGGTTCAGATCAAACTCTGATTGGCTAATTGACTAATGAAAACTGGCGGTAAAAAGACTTCGATTTTAAATTGACGCGTCGGATTAACACTTTGCCGTGCTACGGCAGAACGCCGTATGAACCCTCAAATGTTGCAAAATTTCCCTAACAAATCACGAATTTTAGAAAAAATTCGTGAATATTTATCTTCCGATTTACCAGAGAATTTTGTTCGAAATTTGATCTAAAATGTCAGAAAATTCCAAGGAACAATATTCATAACTTTCTATTATTATAAATATTCCCTAACAGTCAGAGAAACTTTTGACAATATTCAAATTATACAGCGTTTTTCCGTGGCATAGCAGTGCTGCACTGCATCTACCTCAATGTTAGCGGAATGGCACAGAAAGTAGTGGTAACATTGTTTGGACTACATTTAGCTAGTGGGAACTACTATTTCTGGCTAATTTTAGGAACGATGTAAATGCTATTAGTTTCCTTATGCAGGACCGTGCTATAAAGGATGAGTCTAAAATTGTTGCACCTCAGACCGCTCCTAGTTGTGTCCTAGTTGCTCTAGCTGCATTGTGGATAGTCCATTTACGTGTCTTCCAAGCACTCTAAACTGCTTCTACAGCAAGGTTGAAAGTCTATAGAACTTAAGAAAATTAATTTTACAAGCCTCTGTTCAGTTCACTTACTCTTCTGTAATTTTTGTGTTGGCTATCCTGACATGAAAGATGAACAGACCTCAACAATTTTAGTTGTGCACATAAGGAATGAGTTTCGACTAATGACTCTGAGCAAATAGACTATCTTAAACAGTGCTGTACTTAGTTAAGTTCAAATTCTACTTGGACTGCTAAGAGATATGCTAGGAGAAACTGTGCGCATATGAATCAAATAAAGGAGGACTTTGTGTATAGGACTTACGAAAATCATTGTGCCTTTTGATACAATTCATTTGTACATAGTTCCTTTCAGTATTAATACTTTCATTTCATTGTTGTTGCTGTCTGATGATCGGGGAAAAAGAGGATTTTCTAAGCTTGTAATTATCAATAGGAAAAGATATCTTGGAGCTTGAAAAATAGAACCCATGGGAAAAAGGTATTCAAATTCAAAATCTGCTATGTTCAAGTAAATAATTTGCGACTAAAATGTAGATTAATGCCTTCTCTTCTCACAAAATATCGATGGCCAAAGTGTGAAACCACGGAATTCCCTTTGCGACGCTGCAGACTTCTTGCTATACTTACTTTGCTGCTTCTTAAAGAAACTAGTCAACACAATATCTTGGAAATTTCCTTGATTTTTCTACTTGATTAGCAGGATAATTAGTAAAAATTTCAAGGTAAGCAGCTGGCTTGTTCCTCTCCAAAAGAATGAAATAGAGGCAGAAATTTTGAGACACCACACAAGGGATACATGGTTTCGCATTTTAGACTTCAATGTACTAAACTACTATCAACTAATTTTTAGGAATACTCTAACATTCAATGGCATTTCTCAGCGAAAGCTCAAAATACTGATTTTTCAATTGGACAACATTTTCAGGTACTACAATTTCTGGCTCATACGTTAAAATATTTACATGCATGAGAAAACTAGTGGTTCATATGTTGTTTCTAAATGGAACCAGAATTTGTATTTTCCTAATTGGAAAATGTAGTCCAATTGAACTTAACTAAATAAGCCCTCTTAATAAATCGTCGCTGCACTGGCATGAGGACATAACTACAGCTTCAAGCAAGCCTGGTTGTCCACATAACTCCATGTTTTCCAGATCTCACATACAAAAAAAGTTATGCTGTTATTACATTTAAAAAGAGCGTTTGGAAAGAAAACTCTCTTTTTCTGAAGATGGCACTGGTCACATTTGGTCTAAATTTTGTAATTCGGAACAACACGTTCTAGCTAATCTGTAAAAACTCTTCTGTGTAAAAGGAAACTAATGATATCCATGCTGATTCTAAACTGAGCCAGAAATGGTAGTTTCTAATTGCAAAATGCAGTCCATTTTAGCTTGATTTTTTGTCAGAAAAGCATACATCATGACCGAAGTTGAAGAAAAAATTCAAAGGTCCTCCCTGAATTTGAAGTTGGTTTTAGATTAAACTTCGTTCCTTGCACAAAGAGTCACATTTTGTTTGCGCTGTTTCTGTACTTCTGTTAAATTTTCATTATTTCACAGGAGAACTGTCGCATGAATTTATCAGAACATTTATGAGTATTTTTTTCCACAAAGATTAGGAATAATCACTAAAAATTTTGTTGCTTCTTTGACGTGAGAAAATATCCGCATGAGCCCAGACACACCCTTATGTAACAGGGGCAACAATTCTGCAGCCACTCATGCGAGGGTTCTCCTAGAAACAAATAAAATGTAAGTAAGCAATACTGAAACAGTCCAATCAAGATACATTTGTTCGGAAGACAGCAAAATGTTCCTATTTATTGAGGTAGTTTTGGATGAATGTCTCGATCCATCAAATTGGTTTCAAGCAAATTTTACTTCATGATTGGATGAGGAGATAAAAGACACACTGTTCAATCACTGTTTCAAATCTGTATTCCAAAAAATTTAATCAAATCACATTTTTCATTGCTTCAACAGAAGTGAATAAAACAATACAAAAAACAAATTTAATACCAACAGTATGCTATGCACAACTAAAACTCCAATTTTAAAGAAGAAAAAATCATCATCTTGAATTATGAGGCACATCAGATTCTCTTAAGCATTCTGATGCCATTCTGAAAAAAACACAGTGACTTCAAATTCATCATATACAATAGTTGATTCTTTCTCAATATCATTTATGAATACTTGAGGGTCATCCGGAAGTTCATCTTAATGATTTCCTACCCCCTGAGATCAGTATACACACAGACAATTGGTAAAAAGCATCTTAAAGCCAAGGTATAACGCTACTACTTACGCTACTGTTACGATGGGCGATGTGACAACATGAGGCTATGCCCAGCTGACGGGAGAAGTCGACAGGGGGAGGTCATTCAGGGACCGGCAGACATAGCATGGCGCATGCCAATTTAGATTTTCGTATTGTGATATTTTTTCTGAGTTTTTTTTATGAATAAAACGTGTGTCTCACATACAGATTCCGCCGTTCTTTTTCCACCGCTTCCTTGAGAACCTGACACACTTCACACTACTTCTACTACTACTACTACTACTACCACCACTACTTCACTACTTCTCCTTGCTCTCCCCCTAGACACTAAATTTTTGCTTCACTGGTCCCCGTACCACCATGTTTCCCGGACACAATGGAAGAACCGTCAGTTCACATGGGGATTCATTTAAAACATTCATCATTCAGAATTTCTGTGGCAGTCATTTGCTATTATGTTCTTCATTACTTGCTTTAAAATTTTAAAAATGTGTTTTGTTCCTTTTGAACTAAGTTGCATTTTTGTATTAATATTTTAAAATGCAATATTAAGTGTCTTAACAACGCCACTTTGATGATTTATTTAAATTTCACTTTTTTAACACTGATATTTGTTCATGCTCACTTACTTATAACTGTTTTTTGTTCATGCTCTTTATTTGCTATCTCCGAATATTAGTATTCTCATATAGGGTTTTTCGATTGTCAATTTGATTAATTGCCAACTTAAAAATCGATTGGCAAATCAATTGTTGAGTTATTGATTGGTTCAACCAATTGATTAATTTCTTCCAATTAAGACGGTCTGCAGCGGTCATTCATATTCTTGCGGGGATATGCTTGGCTGTTGCATGGCGCTCCCCTCCCCTGGACCATGGTTCTCGACCAGTGACCGCGGCTGTCCGCCATCTTGAGCTTTGTATAATTTGTTTGTTCATTGTTATTATATATAAAATTTAACTTATTGTTGAATGATGAATAAGTTAAACCGTGTAATCATATGTGTGGTGAACCCTTGTTATCTACTTAAGGAGATGTGCGTTTACGAATTAAGCGTCCGTTAAAAGAAAAAAAAAAAGAGAAAAAAATTGTTATTATTGTTCATTTTGCTAATTTCTCAACATTTTTCAATTTTACTTTATTTACTTACTATAAATTGTTAATGAATTCATTAAAATCCTAAATCTATTTTCTGGTAATTTGTCTTTCTATTTTCAGAGGTCAAACGATATATTGTCTTAAATGATTGTGTAAAAGTTTAAATTTTTGAGGGGTATTTTCTTGACTCCATGTCTTTTATCTATTTTCTGGTAATTTGTCTTCTTATTTTCAGAGGTCAAACGAATTATTACCTAAAATTATTGTGTAAAAGTTTAAACTTTTGAAGGGTATTTTCCTGACTCCATGTCTTTTGTCTATTTTCTGGTAATTTGTCTTTCTATTTTCAGACTCCAGGACTTCTCGCTCCGAACGAAAGAAAACATATGTGAGGTGGGGAATTACACCATACACCAGGGTCCTCATAATGGAAAATTATATGGTACAACAATTCAACGATTTGCTTTGAGCAATACAAAACAGAAGAATCAGTCCGTCCATCCTCCCACCAAGTCAACTAGAGGAGCTCATTAAACAAACAGGCACTCTACAAAATTCACTGTACACAGAATCACCATACCTCTTCAACCTGACAGCCAGAATCTTGATAGACATGCAAGATCTCCCCGAGGACGGAACTATACTGAGAGCGACAGTTGTGATACTACTGTTAAAAAGGCAGGAAAGGGTAATAATGACCACTGCAACGAAATGGCAAAACAACAGACTATCAATATTCGAACCGACTTATGTCATAGCAGAAAGCGGGTTATCGGTGGAGAACTGGGAAAGAAAAGCAGAGCACTACTACTATACAGAAAATAGGAGAAAGAAGATGGGC